TTGCCCAGTGTTTTTGGGAAAATGAAGCAAAGTATGGTGTTTGACATGACATATCCGACAACTAAAGGTGGATGGAAAATCTTTTAGCCTATGAGTAGACCTTAGGCAATTGATGCAAGCGTTGGTTTGCTTAACGTAAGCTAGACGCCCTGACGGGGTTTTACCTAGAAATTGAGGGCATTGCGATAATGAATGAAAAGGTTGCTGGCATAATCGACATTTATACCTAGCAGGATCATGAGATGAGGACTGAGCAGCCATATTAGCGATATTTGGGATTGATTGCGGGTTATTTTGTCGTATTTGAGAGTCGTGAGCATTTGATTCAGTGTTCGCTACTAGACTTTGAGCTCCTGAATGTCTAGGCGTTCCAGAATAGCTACCAGACTTCAAGTTACTTTGGTGATATGAGTTTTGAGGTTTTTGGGACCTGTTGAGATTCATTGGACATAGTGAACTCATTTGGACTGATTCGAGGGCCCTACAATGACTTTCGAGATAAGTGGTAAGCTGTAGATAGGTGGGTGACTTAATTTTGCTATGCTCTATTTCAAATGCCGTTCTTGTAGCTGAGTCTAGCCTTCCTTGTAAGCAGCATATTGAAAAGAACAAAACACCACTGGTTGGTTGGAAATCCCAACTCCTCGAGCGCGGCCACATTTTCATTAAAAGTATCCAGTAGGTTTCTTAAGTCTTTGGAAGAATTTGTTTTTTGAGTGGAAGTATTATTAATTGCATTCCAGTAGTTTGTAGCTAAATGCCGTTTATTCTGATAGCGATCTGTGAGAGTTTTAAAAGCTATTGCATAATTAGCATCCGTAGTAGGAATGGACTTTATTAAACTAAGGGGCTCACCCTTTAATAATGAAATTAGATATTGAAATTTGGAAATGTTGGGCAATGTAGAATCATGTACCATGGATCTATACATGTCATAAAATGTTGTCCAATATTGTAAATTGCCATCAAAATTCGGAATAGTTAATTTTGGTAACTTCGCGGTGTAGCTTGCCTGGTTTGATTCATTTGGCACTAAAACATAACTACCTGGTGTGCTACTAGGTGAAAATAATTCAAAGTAAACCTGTTTTGACCCAAAATAATAACTATCTGCGATAAGTTTTACAGCCGGTTTCAGTGGCCTTGAAATTCCTCAAAAATAGAGAATAATGGATAGCGACAGTTTAGGCGCACAAACCTGCACATAAAAAACTTGCTTTATATGGCGATTTTTGCTAATAATTATATTAATTATGATTTTTGATTCTAAAAAGGTTCAAATTTGGCTCATAGGAACAGAAAATGTTGGCGTAATGGTTGATATTTTAGAATCACCTTCGGAGTTACGTGGACTGTAAGCGCAACTAATGAATATGTAGCAAAAAATAACCATACAAAAGACAATATGATAAAAGGCGCCTTACCTGTGGTTCTGGGGTTCTTCTAGTTCTAAGTTAATTTTTAATACCGGGATCCCGGGTCTTGTTTCGGTTGCACAACACTACCGGCTTTTATTTCGAAACCGGTAACCGGCGAGCTCGCGAATTCATCGACTTTCTTGTGTGCGAAAACGGATTAAAAAATGTGTGTTCGTGTTTCGTGTTTGGCGAAAAGAGAGAGAGTGTTTTGCAGTCGCTTGGCTGTACGAATCGAGTGTTTTTTCGTACCTTTTTTGTCGACCTCGGTTCCATACCGAGGGCGCTGTTGTTCCCTGCATAGGAGGCGCTATACCTATTTGAATTTGTATGGTTTTTCAATATGAGCAAAATTCGTAACTTTGACACTCTTGAAGAGATGCACGTACATTGTGCTTATAATACTGACGGGCCTGTAATTCTTCACGTCTCCACTGTCTCCAGACTTGAAGATGGAAGTGACATAACTAGATTTCCAGACGTCTGGAAAGTGACCAGAGCTTAGAGACTTGTTAAATATAACTTGCATAGGTCTGGCAAGTATAAAAGGGCAATTTTTAAGAAGAATAGGGTGAATTTCATCCGGACCAGTACCCTTGAAACTATTTAAGCGAGCTCAGAATATATGACAGATATTGAAATAGCATAAGATGGTATATTGATATTATTTAGAGAGGTTTCTTTAGTAAATTTTGGTTGATTTTGAGAGTATACTGATCAGAAGTAGTTTGCAAAAAGGTTGGCTACATCAACACACATTTCACATGTTACATTGTCAAGGGACATGTTGGAAGGTAGGCTATGAGAATTGCGTTTAGAGTTTATGTATTTCCAAAACTGTTTTGGATCATTGTTGAGAGAGACTTGAACATCTGGGACATAATTTTTGTAGCATTACTGTGATAGAGACTTGCATAGAGTGCGCAATTTAGAAAATGATTGATAGTTTTGTTGAGATGGTAAGGAGCGAAAGTTTTTGTGGGCAATTTTTTTCTCAATAGTTAAACTAATAAGTTCTTGTGTAAACCATTTTGGAAATTTCCTACTAGCAACTTTTTTGAGAGGAACAAAAAGGTTTATTGCACTGTCGAGGATATCATGAAATTTCTGTACCATATCTTGCATGTTTAAGCTAGAGAGAATCCCATCAAAATTAAAGGAACCCAGATAGTTATTAACAAGAGTATAGTCAACGGATTTGAAGTCATGATAGAAAGTTTCTGCTTGTGGACTGATAGAGTTTATTTTCTTATGTGAATATTCAAGGTAAAAATGTAGAGGTAGGTGATGTTTGTCCATTTTCACTAGTGAGTCACATTGCTGTAGGCCCAAATTCGAGCCTCATCATTGGGATCTCGGTAACCGTAAGAGATACGGGGTCGGTTAAATTATGGCAAAATTCTATGACCAATAGAATGCCGTTTTGAAACTAGACAGATTCCGAATACTTCCGGAGATATTCGGAAAAAAACGAAATTTTGTAAAATCGTTTTTATTTTTTTTCCCGGGCTTATTTGAAAAGCAATTTTAAAATAAATGTTACTTCATGGAATTAGTTTTTCAAAATCTTTTTAAATGGATTCAGGAAAAAATTTAAGAAAAACGAGAAATTCATATTTTTATCGTATAGTTTTCATTTTTTCCTGATTTTAATTAAAAAGATTGTGAAAAACTAATTTTACATTCCCATTGTCACTTTTTCTTCTCTACAAGATAGCGGTATTAAATTTGAAATCCAACATTTCGTTCCTCTGGAATCATCATCAATTTTTTTTTTTTTTCAAATACGGACCTGCTTTTTTCACCGTGTTATTGAAAAATTATAAACAATATCGGTTTTAGGATGCCCAAAGATGACAAAATCGCAAATAAAAAATCTAAGTCCGAATTTGAAAAACGTGAGTTGAGGATGGCCGCCTGAAGACGTAACGTCGAACTTTAAATTTAGTAGCACCATCTTCTAAAGGGGAAAAGTGTTTTGTAGTCATACCCCAGGGAAATTAGACCAAAAAAAGGGCCATCTGAGGAATGAGGCCGAACAAGCTGAATTTTTGCAGAGAGCTTCGTTTTGATTTTCTAATGAAGCACAAAAAAATCGCATATGCCTACGCTTGTGCGTCTTGAGATATCGAAGGTCAAAGGTCACGAAAATCGGGTTTTTGCGAAAATCTCGCTTCCAGTGCATCTGACGTCGAAAAACCCAAAACAAAACTTACGTAAAATAGTATTTTCTACAAAATTATTCATATACATCTTTTTGTACGAACAACCGTTTTCGAGATATAGCGTGATAAAGCGGGAGCGCGCATTCAAAATAGGTAATACTGTATTATACTGTGGAGCTATAGCTATAAATGCATTTTTGCTAATCTCTTATAGTCTGGAAAATAAAACTTTCAATTGTGAAATTGTTAGAAATTTGTTAATTTATAATAAAATATATAATCAATAACTAAGAACAAAGCAATGTAATATTTTCACACCACTTTTGTAATGAAATGCAAAGCTTCTATATTATATTATATGCAAAAAATAACATTTCCTTATTCTACACCTTTTCCATATGTATTTCAGAGATCGTCAGTTTAATTTCAGAATGCGTCAATTGAAATTCAGATTAGTAAATTGTATTTCGGAAAGCCTCAATTGTATTTCAGAATAAATAATTTTATCTGGGAAAGAATCAATTGTATTTCAGATTAGTTTATTTTATTTCAGAAAGTGTCAATTGTATTTCAGATTAGCTAATTTTATATCGGAAAGCATCAATTGTATTTCAGATTAGTTGATTGTAGTTCAGAAAACGTGAATTGTATTTCAGAAATTGTCAGATGTATTTCGGAAATTAGTAGGTATCTACGCAGATTTCCCCAAATCAACACAAGATAGGTGTATAGGTGACTCATTATAAATTTTATTTAATACACTACATTGATAATATCTGAAATACATTTGACGAATTCTGAAATACAATTTACAATTTCTGATCTACAAATAAATAATCTGAAACACAAATGATGTTTTCTGAACTACAACTGACAAAGTTGAAATACAAATATCACTTTCTGAAATTGAACTCACACAACTGAAATACAATTGACGCATTCTGAACTAGAATTGATGAATCTGAAATACAAGTGATACATTCTGAAATACTTATGGAAAAGGTGTAGTTGAGAAAAGTATAGTCATCCAGGTACATATAAAGAACCGGTTGCGGGTAATTACTCGAAATTCGGGTATTTTAACGAACGTGTGGGTATTAGTTTTGGTGGGTATTTCCCGGGTTTTTAAGAGACATGGATCATATTTCAAGCAGCAAACTGCCCGCCACATACAATATTTCAGAACGGAAAGCGTTTTCTATTAGCTATGTATGGTGCTCCGAAAGATGAAGTAATCATTGACAGATTTAGATATGCCCAATTCATCAAGGCTACATTTAATAGACCTGTTAAATTTAAAGAAAAGTAAAAATTAAAAGACTATCGTGTATATTAAGGTACGGTACGGACGTGTTTTTGTTCGCTCCTCAACAAAAGTGTTTACATATCGAGATATAACGAATATTATTTGGTGCTTAGCATGGGGGACACAAGTGACGGCAGTGAAGACATTGCCACAAGTATATCAAAATTAAGTGAAGCCTTTTCACGGAAAAATCGGTCTAATTCCGTAAATTCCATCGAGTTTTCAGAGTCGGAAATAAATAAAATCATTCTCGGAGATGGCAAAAAAATTCCAAAAAATGTGATAAGAAATAATACAAATAAACAAACGTTCGAAGATAAAGATAACGACGACGGTAATAAAAGTGAGCAAATACCGGGGAATCTCGAAAAGTTCAACTACGGCAAGCGAATGCGAGGCGATATGTCACCAGGGGAGGAAAACAAAAATAAAAGAGCATGTGAAGGACCAATAATAGATTTACCAGATATAGCAACAAAACCAATTCAAGAAGAACCAGACATAAAAATGAGCAACATCCTTAGGGATATGTTTGAAGCTCTAGATAAAATTCAATCACACCAGTAAAAAGGTGAATAATGACATAGTCATAGATAAAGAGAGCCAAAACATTTTAACAATCGCAACTAGCGCCATACAGAAGAATTTAGCACTAATAACGTTAAAAATCGGACAGCTCGAGCAAGACAAAATCAAACTTGAACATGAATTAAAACTTAAATCTTTGATACATACAACTAACCCGAACATACACTCACAATCAAGTTATAAAATATCAGACACTACCAAACAAAAAACCTATGCAGATGTTGCGCAAAAAATGTCAGAATCAAGACCAAGTATAGGAACGGAAACTGAGAAAGCATGGACCACACCACCGAAAGCATCACAAAAACTGGAAACAGTGATAAAAATTGAGAACATGTCTAACCCAAAAGATACCATGCACCAACTTAAAAAAGAAATTGGAAGAGCCGATATAGGAGGAGGGTTTAAAAGTATTAGACATCTGAAAAATGGAGCAATAGTCGTAGAAAGCCGTAATGAGTCCCAACAAAGAAAACTGAAAGACGCCCTGCATAATAAACACAATATAAAGATTAAAGAAAATGAGGCGATTAATCCCATGTTTATGATCTCTGGAATTCTTAAAGGCTACTCAGACTCTGAATTTGTTGAAGAGCTGTTAAGAATGAATGATGAAATAGAATCTGAATTGCCAATAACCGACATTAAAGACAAAATGAAAGTGATAACCGAAAAATCGTGTCGAAATCCAAGTAAGGAAAATTGGATATTACAAGCAGAACCAGCAATATCTAAGTGGTTTTTGAAGAAGGAAACTATAAACTTCGATCTAACGAAAGTGTATGTGCAAGAGCATTTTAACCTTGCTCTTTGTTTTAAGTGTTGTGGTTTTGGCCATGTCGCAAAGTATTGTGGTGGAAACAAGTGTTGCCATAAATGTGGAGCAAATGACCATGCAGGGAAGGAATGTCAATCAGTAATCTTTAAGTGTGTCAACTGCGTGAAGATGAAATACAAAGAAGAAGATAGTCAACATTCAGCACGCGACAGAAATTGCCCTGTGTACCAAAGAAGACTTAAGAACTTCCAGAGTCAAATAAATTATTCAGATGCTTTTTTTTAACAAACGACAAGAAAAATCAACCCACAAGCAGCAACACAGCGACTGGCAAAACAAATTCCAACTCTCTGATAAGCCTAATACACCAAAATGTGCAGTCTCTTGGAAACTCGATTGATAAAATAAACCACACATTAAATATGCATCCAGAATGCAAAATTTTCTGCGCATCAGAACACTGGAAAAGTGAAGAACAACTCACACAATTGGGCATAAAAAACTTCAAATTAACATCATGGTTTTGCCGTGAGGAGGGTCAACATGGAGGAACGGCAATCTATGTCCATAACAAAACATCGGCAAGAAGTAGGAAAAACCTTTGCATGCTATCAGTGAGTGGAGTTTTTGAGTGTGCGGCTATTGGATGTCGATTAGGTAATATTGAAATTGAAATCATTACAATCTATAGACCGCCTTCAGGCGACTTATCCCTTTTTTTCAATAAAATAGAGCAGCTTCTATCGATAGCTTTTGTTGAAAATAAATTAGTTATTATAGCCGGAGACTTTAATATAGAGACTCTCGAAAAAAATAAATCGGGGACAGATTTTCTAGCAATAATGAATTCCTTCAACTTATACCCTACTGTCAAAGAAAACACCAGAATAACATCAACCTGTAGTAGTTCTATAGACAATATATTCACGAATGGGGAGTTTATTAGTGCGAGTGTAATGAAAATTGTCTCAGATCATACTGCACAAAAAATTGTCATGGAAACATATGCAAACAACTTTGAACAAAAAAGAAATATTTCACAAGAGAACATGAACAGTTTTTTGAGCAGTTTGATGGATGAAAATTGGGAACATGTATAATCTATAGATGTAAATAATGTAGACGACCAGTGGAATAGTTTTGCAAATACGTATATGGCGATATTCAATCAGCATTTTCCTTTGAAATTTTTTTATAATAAATCAAAAAAACGGATAAGAACACCGGAAGTAGATAGTTGTAAAAAAAAATTAGATTCACTGTTAATATTAAGTAATTTTAGTGCACAATATAAAGATGCCTACAAAAAAGCTAAAAGAGAATATGATGAAATCTTTAAAAAAACTCAAACTCAGAAATACGAAAGTAGAATCACTAAAGTCTGATAATAAAATGAAATGTATGTGGGCTATTACTAAAGAGATAACCGGAAAGGCTTATTCTAAGAACGAAATTGGTTTAAAGGGAAATGCTGAAAAAGTTGCAAATGACTACAATAAATTTCTGGTATCTATTATACCAGATTTGTTAAAAACAGTTGATCATTTACCTTACACTTGCAATATTCCAACAAATAACCAGTCAATCTTTCTAAAACCAATTACTATTAAAGAAATTGCTGAATCGGTCTTTTGCCTGGATTTTCCAAACTTTTTGAGTTTGCCATGTGCAAAAGACTTCTAAAATTTATGAACGACTGTAATTTGTTCAACAGTAACCACCACGGTTTCTTAAAGGGAAAATCCACTCAAACGGCGATGTATCAGTTTGTGACGCATATCGTGAATTTTTTTTGAAAGCGGAGAGGGAGCGTTGGGCATGTTCCTCGATCTGTCAAAGGCCTATGACTGTCTTGACAGAAAATTGCTTTTGGGCAAACTTGATAGATATGGAATAAGGGGAAGGGCCTTGCATTGGCTTGAGTCATATCTAAATAATCGTAAACAAATTGTGAGTGTTATTGGAAATGGTACAAAAGCGAAATCTAAGACACTTTATAGTGAAACTGGTGTGGCTCAGGGCAGTATTCTGGGACCTATCCTATTTGTAATATTTATAAATGATATATACATGATAAGAGATAATCCAGGTCAAATAATATTAAATTACGCGGATGATACGAATTTGTTGACTGGTGGTAAGGGTCTGTGTCAGATTTTAGTGAATAGTAAATATTTTCTTGATAAAGTAACAAAATGGTTTATTGAAAACAGGTTAATTCTTAACACGGATAAAACAAATATTGTATTTTTTAGAACAAAACAATCTAATATAGAAAGGATTGATAATGTAAATTTGTCAAGTGGCAACTTGAGAGTTTTGGAGAATACAAAGTTTTTAGGATTGTGTCTAAATGAGAATTTGGATTGGTGATTTCATGTCAATGGCCTTGTGAAAAAGTTAAGTTCCATCTGCTATGGTATTAGGGTAGCAGGAAAATATATGAATGAGAAGACTCTAAGAACGTTGTATTTTGCCAATTTTGAATCGAGATTAAAGTATGGAATCATTTTTTGGGGCAAAAGCGCATATACTCAGGATTGTTTTATCGCTCAAAAAAGAGTGGTCAGAATTATTAAAAAAATGGACTATAACCAGTCCTGCAGGAATACTTTCAGACAGATGGGAATATTAACTGCATATGCTTTGTACATATTTGAATGTCTCATGTTTTTACATAGAAATAAAAATTTATTTGAACAGCTAAGAACTGAAAGGTATAACACCAGGGCAGAATATTTATCTTACCCCAGACATCGCCTCCAATTAAGTCAAAAAAGTTCAGAGTATATGTGCGTTAAATTATTCAATGCATTGCCACGACAGGTAAGACAGATTGAAGGTATATCTGCTTTTAAAAGAGAAGTCAAAAGATTGCTTATTAACTTGGAGCCATATACCTTGGATGATTTCTTGAATATGTAAATTATAATGATTTATTTTTTTATGTACTTGTAATGTTGATAGCATACTTATTCAATAATCAGATGAATGTTTAGTTATATATTTTTTTTGCCTTTATTGGCTTATTGACGTAATTTCAATTGTTATTTTTTTATACCAATTTTAAAATAAATGTTATTATTATTATTATTATTATTATTATTATTATTAAATTGTCATCTCTTCCACCTACCAGTGGAGCTGCTCGACACTCGCCAGCATATTTATCGGTTCTACTACCAAATGTTGATTTTGCTAGGAAAAAATCCACAACCCGAATAATGGGGTTGGAATTTGAAAAACGAACTATTAGAGCCGAGAACAACACTACTGCCACCTGCCCCAGACGAACTATTAAATACAATATTCTGCAATTGTAAAAAGGCGTGTGTTGCGCAGTTTGGGTGTAAAAAAGTCGGGCTGCCATGCTCCAAAGTTTGTGGTCAGTGACAGGCATGGCTGAACCTGTCAACAGAGAGAGAGCAAATCGAAGACTTCAGTGACCTTGAGCTTGAAGAGGTTTAGCCATCAGACATAGAGCCAAACAGATATAGAGAAAACGTCTGACGAAAATAATTTTTTGATCGAGGTGCTAGTGGAACCCGACGAAGACGAGGGGGTCGCGGAGGAAGCTATGTGCAAAGAATAATAGGGTAGTGGACAAGGTATAATTTCAATGAAATCGATGATCTATTCTTCATCTATGAAGTAAATAAAAAATATTCATATCAAAAGAAATTTCAGATAAAATTACTAACCTTGTTTAAAACAGCGGTGAAAGTAGAGTTTTGGGACGCACTATTTGAACGGAAACATTTCGCGCCTTGATTCTACGTCATAGCTGTTGTATTTAAAGTATGAATTAAATAAAACCTACGTTCGATATTCGACACAAACTTACTCATTAGTGCAAAAAAGAGAGATATATCAGCGTCTCTCGGGTATTATTACATTTTGGCGCACCCTCAACATAACCCCACTTTTTGACAGAATTCTATTTGTCAATCAGTGTGCACTGAGTTTATCGGCATCTTTTTCTAAAAGCATGTTAAATATAAGGACGCGCTATTGGACATACATAACAGCTATGACGTAATTTCCTGGCGGTAAATTATAGCGTTTAAAATAAGTACAAAGGACCCCGCACACCTCTTATGGGATTTGGGACTTCCGCCAAATTTAACCAAATTCTAGTATGATATAAACTTGACCTTTCTGATCAATATTTAGAATTGGCCCAACTTGATCCTATGACCAG